TCCACTGACATGTTTTCCGGTACAAATTTACAAAGCTTCCCTTTTATTTCTCTTATCCAAGTTTCCAAGCAATGACAGAACCTACTTATGAAGCTGACAGGTTTTAGAAAATATGGCAAGCTAAATCCAGACTCTTTATGACAGTAGAACACGTAACCCCCAAATGCTGCCTATGCCATCATGTGCTCTGAAAAAAAAAGAGGTAGCTAGTGGATCTCTTGCTATATTCTTAGGAAACATTTCCTCAGTTAACTGAAATTACTGCTTTCTGTCCATAAAACAGGGGAACGGACAGTTGCCTTGTGGGGGGAGTATGAATTCAATGGCACTGTCTCTTTGACACTTCACTAACTGACCACAAGAGGGCAGTGGGGTATAGAGTGCTAAGGATTTACCGTACTCCGTGTCATTTCTCTATTATATTATTATAGAAGATTTAGGGCAGATACATGGTATTCAAAACCAGGCTCTGAATTGAAAAATCATCCAAATCTCTGCAAAAGCACTGTAGATAAGATGTGAACTATCTGGATGCTGTCAGATTATAATTCTATGCTCCCCAATCATTGGCTATGAGATTGAATGCAAAAAACATCTAGAGCAGGGATTCCCAATCTGTGGGCCGCAACCCATTACCGGGCCTGCGCTCGCAGCCCACTTGTGAAGCTGTGTGTGCTTGTGCGCATGCCTCTTGCACAAAACCATCCCCTCTTCCCCCCCCTCCTTCCCTCCCTCCCCCGCACCAGGCTGCCAACCCAGAAAGGTTGGGGAACGTTGATCTAGAGCAGTGGTTCTCAACCTTTTTAATGCCGCGACCCCAACCGGTCGTAAGTCAAGGACTAAACTGGTCGTAAGTCGAGGACTAAACCGGTCGTAAGTAGAGGACTACCCAACCGGTCGTAAGTCGAGGACTTTCCCTGCCCAGGAGCGCCGCGCATGCGTGGTTCCGCCCCCTGCGCCAGCCGAGGCATAGCTGGCAAGCAGCAGAGACGGAGCAGGCAGACCACCAGCTGGCCCAGCCCAAGGGAGGTAAGGCACCCGCTGGAAAAGGGGAAAAAATGGTGGACAAAAAAAATGGCGGACAGCCTTGCTTGGCGACCCCTGTGAAATGGTTGATCGACCCCAAATGGGGTCTCGACCCACAGGTTGAGAACCACTGATCTAGAGGGCCATATGTTATCCTTGGAGTACTTAGAGAAATATTATTTTAACTATTTCTAATGCAGGAAAAGTTGAAACAGGAGTGGTTACAGGGAGTCCTTGACTTATGACCAAAATTTCCACTACTAATCAAGATAACTGTTAAATGAGTTGTGCCCCATTTCACAATCATTTCTGCCGTGCTTTGTTAAGCGAATCGCTACAGCGGTTAAGTGATTCATGCAGTTGTTAAGCAAATTTCGCGAATTTCCCCATTGACTTTGCTCGTCCGAAGTTCCCTAAGGAGGCTGCAAACGACAATCCTAGAACCCCAGGACCCTGCAACAATCGAAAATAGATGCCGTTTGTCAAGCGCACAAATCTGATCACACGACTGTGGGGATGCTGCAATGGTCATAAGGGTAAAAACTGGTCGTAATTACAGCGCTGTTGTAATTTTGAACGGTCATTAAGTGAATGGCTGTAAGTCAGGGACTACCTGTATACCAGAGTTTTCTTACCCATCTGGTAGGAAGTAGAACTGCCAATTCAGTGGGGGCGCTTCCACAGACTGTACGGTCCTTTCAATCACAAACACATCCACTTCCTCTTTTTTCACTTTCTGTTTCTGGACGCCGAGGGTTTTCTAGAAGGAGATTAGGGAATTGGCAAAAATGGCAAAGAGAGGTGCATAAGGATGGCTGTTCAGACAGTATCTTAGTTGCTCCAGTGAATAAGTAGTTGATTTCAACATTTCATCTATATCAGGGGTCTTCAAACTTGGCCCTTTTATGACTGGTGGACTCCAACTCCCAGAATTCCTCAGCCAAGCATGCCTGGCTGAGGAATTCTGGGAGTTGAAGTCCACAAGTCATAAAAGGGCCAAGTTTGAAGACCCCTGATCTATATATTGCACTTTAGTCTGGACAGCTGGTAATCTTTCTTCCCCGGCTTAGCTATTCTAGACATTCAGAGTTTATTCTAGGTAAACAGAAACTCTGGGTAGAGGTATCTGGGCTTCATTTTTATCCGCCAACATCAAAACAGGCTACACCTCTTTTCCTTGCCCTTTTATCCTCTGCCTCAACGTATACTTCGCTTTTTTCTTACCAATTATAAATACATAGGAAGGAAAGGAGTCAGTATGCCTGGATAAGTCAAAGTAGAGTGAGAGAGCTATAAGAAACCGCTTTATAATGAGGGACACTGTAGATCCATGTAACTTTCTACTGTCTTAAGCTGATTGGTGGTCATTTGATAAGAGATTCAGGCAGATTTCCCCAGTTTTTATCCAGAGATGCCAGAACTAACATTGGGATCTTTCTTGGGCAAAACATGTGCACTACTACTAATCTATAATTCCTTTCCAAGACAGAATTCCCACTATATTGCTGGATACCCAGCTGCTCCATTATAATATATCCACAACCTGAGCTTACATAGGTAGAGGTACAGACGTGTTGGTCAGAGTCAAATGAGAGGAAAATAGCATTTTGTGGTAAGGACTGCCTCCTGGCCATCACCCGCAGCACCAAGAAGTTGGCAGATTCTGAGATGA